TCCTCTGCATCTTAGAAGAGTTTTGTCAAAAGTGGAAAAAAAATGTGCAAGTTTTCAAGTTTTAACCCCCCCCCCCCCACCACACACACTTACCTATTAGATTAATTTCAATATCTTCATCCACCAGGTCTGGTGTAGCATGAAGCAGTCCCTTCTCCAGATCTAGTATAAACAAAATAAGCACAGGGTACCAAAAAAAGGCAACAAAAAAAATCCCCCAGAGATTACTTACCAACATTTACTCCACTTCTCCACTGGCTGCCATACAGTGCTGGTCTGAGTTTATGGAGAGGGAGCTCTTCCACAGTTAGAGGCCAACTTTTAGGTTTAACTGGCAAGACCAGCATTGGACCCACTGTGGTATCATGTTCTAACACTATCAAAGACAAGTATCATGTCTTTAGAGTTACTTCAAGCCCAAAACCCATGTGTAAAGCCTGACATCTAATGGTGACAGCTATGCATTTGCTCACTGAAGACTGGTTGTGGCTGACCAAGTAATGTCAGATGATAGAAACCTTACCATTATTGGTCTTCAGTCCACTTCCCCATAGAGTTTCAGGTGGCTTCCCAACCCCATGAGGCTCAGACTTGCCAGGGCTGCTGGCTTTACTCTGGCTTTGACAATACTGACACAAGTAGTCATTGCTGTCAGCTGACCGCCATCTTGAGGAAAAAAAAAATTCAGCACAATTGTGTCAATGTAAATAAACTTATGTAAATAGGCATCTTATACTGGCCAACACTTGCCTTCCTTTGACAAACGTGCAGGCTTTATTTGGGGCCTCTGCATCATTTACCAGTACAGCATTCAGCTGACATGTAATGTAGAGCTGCAACAAGGTAAAGCCAAGTGTGAAAAACAGTTACACCTGCAATAATGAATTAAGCCAGTTTAAATCAAAGCTCACCTCTCCTTTGTCTTCGTTATGAAACTTAAAGGCATCAATGATAAAGTGGAGCTTGTCATGCCGTGTCCTGAATAAGAAGTGGGACTTTGAGCCTGGAAACTGGGAGTCAACCAAGCACCTGTGAAGGGAGGAAAAGGTCAAGACAACTTGTCACATTGTATGCAGAGGTACTTTAAGTGCAATCGATAGATAGGAGGAATCTCAAATTTATCATAGTGCAGACCAGGGGTGTTTCAAGTGCTTACCCATTTTCAATGAAGACATATCTGGGAGTAGAGTCTTTGTTTGGGTCAAGCGTAGCCACACAGCTGCTCACAAACACTCGGAGCCCTATGTGATGCCCAACTGTGACAGAGGCTTCGATGCTGATTGGCTCACCAACGTAAAACACATTAGAGCTTCTTGTATACAGCCAATTATCTGTTAAAAAAAAACGAACAAATGATAAATATCATGCTTGAAGACAAAAACAAAATGTGAATGACGCTCACCTGTCATAGTTCTGAGATCAAGCTTAAAGGTTTGCTCTGCAGCTTGCGTAGACATGAAGGGGATCCAGTTAGGGGCGAGTGATAAACTGGACAAGCTGTACTTCCTAAGAAACAAAACAAGCATTTTACAGCAAGACATTACTCAATGAGTTTTTGGAGAAACGCTGTGAAGCGTCCAGACCTTCCATAATGACACTCGATTGGAACTACAGCCTCCTCCATACGGATCAGCCAGTCTGGAGAGGCCTCAGGAGAGTATAGGAGGAGGTTTGTGTAGACCAGAGAGTCGTCACTCATCTGTGGAGAGTACATGTATATTTTTACACCACAGGTTATAGTGGTTGAAACTGTACAAGGTTAAAATAATTCCACTTACCCAGTGTTTGGTTCCGCAGTCCGTTAGTCCAACAACAATCCTGTACTCGTCTTCTTTAGACGTGGTAGCTCTGCAAACATGATTGTGCTCCACTCCAAGGCGCAACTCATGAGCGTTTACAGGCGCGCCAACTCCAAACATGTCAGCTTTGATTACAATCTCCAGCGAGTCTGGGTGGCACATCACCCTGACAGTATCCACTTTGTTTCGTTCCTCGGCTGGAGCCTGCACAGCGTATTGGGAGCTCTGGCTCTGCTCAAGCCGAGGTCTCTGAAATAGAGCATGTCCCGTGTAATGTGTTGGTGGAAAAGCAAAAGACGAGCCAAGACAGAATCCTGACAAAAAGAGTCCAACAAGGAGGTTAACCCAAAAAAGCAGGGGCTCCATAAATGGCACTCAAAAACATCAAACTGGCTCAGACTGCAGAAATGCCTCTCTGACCCACCAGAATCAATTCAGCCTGAGCAGGGAGCGTTTTTCCTTTATGCCAGCAGAGGCAGCTGCGCACCTGGGTCCAATGACCTACTAATCAGCTCACAATTGGCTACAGACTCTTGTCTAGTGAAACTTAAAGCACATGACTGCATCATTTACTCCAGTCTTACCAAGACGAACCTGGAGTAATGTACAGCAGAGGCAGGTCTCCTTCCTTCTGTAAATCTGATAAATCAGTGTCCATACAGTCAGCAAAACACCACAGTGAATAACTGCTTCACTGCTTGTGTTAAACCACAGTGCATAAATTTAGTTATGTAGTTTAAAGACATGATTCAGTTTCCTGGCCTTTGGTATGAACATTAACCAAAAGCTAACTTTATTTTTCCACTTGCAAACTGAGAAACAAAACCAATAGTTTACCACATAAACATGTGTTTTTCTTTATTATTTTGGGAATATACAGGTATCCCTTTATCACAGGTAGAAACTACAATAAAAGCTTCTTTGACTACAATCGAGTTAGCATTCACATGTACATTGAGTTTGACTTGCAGGTGAAAAGTAAACGTGCCTGTGTTTCAGTCTGTCTTCATTTAAAAAATCATGATTTTATATTGTTTTCTAAAAACTGTGTTGTGAATTGTATCAGATATACAGTATTTTCCATGATAATGTTATGTCTTTGTATTGCCTCGTCTATAAAGAGCTGTAAAGTAAAGTCATTGCATTTATATCTACATACATGTGCCACCTCCGTATCCACTGGAAAGCAGCTGCTGTGGTTTATGTAAAGCCGCTGAATAATTACTGCCACCAACACCTCTGCTTCCGCTCATCGTCCTCCTGTCTCTGACCTTATACCCACCAGACACAGGCTATATCCGGTGACAGAATGAAAGTGGTACATACTCTTATATGTTCCTTTCTTACTAAACAATGCCATCACAACCTAATGCAACAAATCCCTCAGTACAAAATGAAATTCAAATGTTCTAGTGCTGGAACACCATTTATATTATGTACAGATACTGGGGAAAGTCCTTTAAGGAGATTTTGATTCTTGTTGTGTTTATATGTTACATGTGTGCCTCCAGTAACTGAAGGCTTTGAAGTCTGCTTGACATCCTGACTGAGAAGTATTGAAAATTTCAGTTAGACAACCTGGGTGTGCACAGGAGCGGCCGTGCACAGTGTGTAGTGGCAGTTGGAGCTTTGAAGCCTTCTTCCTGCTTTGAGGGGAAGAACAATAAATGCAGCGAGGGTGTCCATAAAGCCTCACACACGCCTGAACGAAAGAACACCAGTGTATTATGACCTAGGTTTGGTGTTTTTTTTTACTGCTTTTATAACCAAAAAAAGCCATGAAGACAAGCTCGGCATGCGTCCTAGTTTTCATTCAACTCTGTGAAGGTAAGAGAAACATACAACTTATTTACCATTTACAAACACCACAGAATATTATTTTGGTGACTACAGACTTTTGCTGCTGACATTTTTCTCCAGCCCAGTGTGTTTACTGTTTGGATTATTTTTCATTTCCTGGGATAATTAGACCACAGCTGTTTGTAGTGAAGTTGTGTTTTGAGATAAATATTATGCTAACTATGACAAGGTACTAATGTTTTTTGATTTGATTTGATTTATTCTTTCAAGCATGTAAAACAGTTGATATGACAACACACATAATTTTACACATAATCCAATATCAATTTGCTTATACCTAGTACATGCTTGAATGGAGTAGGAAGAAGTCAGACTTATCCAGTCCTACCCCATGACATCATCTTACCATCATTGGTTTGCAAGCAGTAAATGATTCACTTCTACACACACACATATTATACTAAAAAAAGAATATAAC